GATGGATGGATGGATGGATGGATGGATGGATGGATGGATGGATGGATGGATGGATGGATGGATGGATGGATGGATGGATGGATGGATGGATGGATGGATGGATGGATGGATGGATGGATGGATGGATGGATGGATGGATGGATGGATGGATGGATGGATGGATGGATGGATGGATGGACGAAGATGGATGAAGATGAATGGAAGATGGATGGAAGATGGATGGATGGGAGGATGGAGGAAGGATGGATGGATGGAAGGAAGGATGGATGGATGGATAGAAAAAGGATGGAAGATGGATGGAGGAAGGCTGGATGGAGGAAGGATGAAGATAGATGGATGGATGGAGAAAGGATGGAAGATGGATGGAGGAAGGATGGATGGAGGAAGGATGGAAGAAGGGATGGAGGGAGACCATATATGGTTGATGGATGGTTGGATGGATGGATGGATGGATGAAGATAGACATGGAAGATGGATGGATGGATGGGTGGATGGATAGGTGGATGGAAGAGTGGATGGAGAAAGAATGAATGGAAGATTGATGGAGGAAGGATAGACGGATGGATGGAAGGAGGAAGGCTGGATGGATGGAAGATGGATGGATGGATGGATGGATGGATGGATGGATGGATGGATGGATGGAGCAGGATGGACAGACAGATGGGAGACAGGTAGAACCCAGAGGGAGGATGGCTGGAGGGTTGGAGAGAGGCTTGGCTGGAGGAGTGGACGGATGGAGAGCAGACACATGGAGGATGGATGGATGAAGGGAAGGAGGATGGATGGAGAAGGATGGACAGAAAGGTGGAAGAAGGATGGATGGATGGATGGATGGATGGATGGATGGATGGATGATAGATGGATGGGCAGAAGATGGAGACGGGACCCAGAGATGCACGGGAGGGTGGGCTGGGCCAACCTGGCCAGGCATTGGGCTGCCCTGACGGCCGTGGGCAGGACTTCCTGTCGGACATGGCCATGACGGAGGTGGATCGTTTCATGGACCGGGAGCACCTGATCTTCCGGGAGAACACCCTCGCCACGAAAGCCATAGAGGAGTATCTGAAACTCATCGGCCAGAAATACCTCAAGGACGCCATCGGTGAGCTCCACCGGCGCTGGGAGGTCCCCGTCATGGCCAGGACCTCCCTGGTGTGGCTACGGGATGGTGGGTGGTCCCCACACGTGGTCATGTCCCTCTTGGCACGGCCATGAGATGGTTGGGTGGGCCCTGGTGCCCACTGGTGTCTCCAGCCCCGTTTCATGGCCAGGTCCCCATTGACGTGGTCATGAGATGGTTGGGAGGTCCCTTCTCACGGCCATGGGACAGTTAGGTGGTCCCTCTCGTGGCTGTTGTTGTCATGGGATGGTTGGGTGGTCCCTTCTCATGAACATGTCTCCATTGAGGTGGTCAGGCCATGGGACACTCAGATGGTCCTCATGCCCAGTTCATGACCAGGTCCCCATTGGCATGGTCATGAGATGGTTGGGAGGTCCCTTCTCATGGCCATGGGACAGTTAGGTGGTCCCTCTCATGGCTGTTGTGGTCATGGGATGGTTGGGTGGTCCCTTCTCAGGTGGTCAGGCCATGGGACACTTGGATGGTCCTCATGCCTAATTCATGACCAGGTCCCCATTGGCATGGTCATGAGATGGTTGGGTGATCCCTTCTCATGGCTGTGTCCCCATCAGACTGTCCTGACCGTGGGACAACGGGGTGGTCCCTGGTCCTCTCTGATGTCCCCAGCCCCGTTTCACGACCAGGTCCCCGTTGGCATGGTCATGAGATGATCAGGAGGTCACCATGGACAATGAGGTCCCACGTGACGTCCCCCGTCCCCACCCAGGCGAGTTCATCCGGGCGCTCTACGAGTCGGAGGAGAACTGCGAGGTGGACCCCATGAAGTGCTCGGCCTCCACCTTGGCCGACCACCAAGCCAACCTCCGCATGTGCTGCGAACTCGCCCTCTGCAAGGTGGTCAACTCGCACTGGTGAGTCCTCGGGGGTTGGAGTCACCCCCTGGTGTCCCCACCACGGGTCTCCCTGACCACGTGTCCCCCTCTTCACCCCATCTTCTCCCACCCAGCGTGTTCCCACGGGAGCTGAAGGAGGTCTTCGCCTCGTGGCGACTGCGATGCGCCGAGCGGGGCCGGGAGGACATCGCCGACCGGTTGATCAGCGCTTCGCTCTTCTTGAGGTCGCGTTGTGGCCCCCCAGCCTCTTCGGCCTCATGCAGGAGTACCCCGACGAGCAGACCGCCCGCACCCTCACCCTCATCGCGAAGGTCATCCAGAACTTGGCCAACTTCACCAAGTGAGCGGCTGGTGGGAAGGAGGGAGATGGGGGGGGAGGTGGTGGATGCCGGTGGTTGGGTGGTGGGATGGTGGGG